GGGCTTCCTGGAGGAGAGAGCTGTCTGCTCCGCATCTGGAGAGCCCACCTCTGCCCGACCCCGCAGGCGAGGCGCTGGGTCTGTGAATTGGGGGCTAATGTGCGGACAGGAATGCAAGCTACGGAACTCAGCCAGAAGAGTCCGGCCGGCCGAGGTTCACACTCGAGTCCCCGAGGCAAACAGCGCCCTTACCGTCTGACATGACCCTGTTTGCGGGCTAGGAGCACATTTTACACATTCTGAAGTGTTGCTATACCCAATGTCAACAATGCAAAATTATCAGCAGCCCACGGACTAGGGCAATTCCACGCTGGCTAGATGGGACACGCGTTCGAGCCCCGCACGGCCATGCAATTGGTGTTCAAAAAAAGCACTCATCCTTTAACGCGATGAAAGACGTAGGGCAACACCACGCCTGAAAACGTTACATTTCTAAAAATAATTCCAATAATTCTGCGTGTCTTTTCAGGCTCTCCCCACGCCAGTCGTCACAAGATTAAACCTTCAGGACGGCAAATGTAAACACACGAATCGAACATGTCACTGTATACAATGTCGCAACAGTATTGAAAACAATAATAGCGCAATTATGGTGACTTTCCACGCAGAGCTCGGTTAAGAAAGCAAATCAGCAACAGGCTTCACACGCGAGTTCAGAACCGGGAAGCAGGACTGCGGGGTCCGCGTCTGCCCGCCCTTCCAGGGGCCGAGCCAGGACCGAACAGGGCAGATCCCCCAATCTGTCTCCCGATCAGCGAGAAGACGGCACGACACAGTGTACCTGTACTGCCCACAGCGCGCACCCGGACCGCGGCCCCGGGACACGCCGGCAGGCGCGCTGGCGAGAGCCCGGCACGGCCACCGCACCGCCGGGGCGCAGTTCTCGGGGTGAACACGTCTGCAGACCCAGCGAGTCGCACCTGAGCTCGTCCGCGCTCGGGTCAACCTGTTTCCAAAACCCCCCTTTCTCCTTTAAACCGGGTTTTAACATACAAACCAAAATTCCGAAAACTTAAAAAAAACAACAACAAATTAACAGCGCTGCCATTGCTTGGAGGAAAGGCGCCCGGGTCGACGACTGACGTTTGAAATGTTTTATTTTCACTGAAAAACCTGCGACAACGGATGAGTCAAAAGACTGATTGGTAGCCAAACTAAACATGCGGAACCCAAACAAAAACGCATGGTATGAAAATAATCAACTCAAGCCCAGTCTGCAGAACCAGAAGCAAGAGCGCTGCGACCCCGCTGCCACGGAGCGGGTCTGGCTCCGGCCGGGAGCGGAGGAAGTTCGGAGTCCAGGTTCGACACTCACACCCCCGGGCAGACCCAGCCAGCGCAGCGCGGCGACTGTAATCGCTTCAATAACACAGATAAAAGGCGTCGGCGAAGGCACTTGAACTTTGCTTTTTTTTTTTTTGAAACAACTCGAGCAGCACTTCAAAACCAGCACAGACACGGCGGCCCCCCACCTCCACCCGAGAAACCCACCGCGTGTTTGTTTCAAGCGGCGCGTCAGCCCCGAGACCCGCGGCTGGACCCGAGCCGCGCTTCCACAGAGAAGTCGCCAACACGCGGGGTGGGAGAGCCGACCACCGCTCCTCGCCCGCTGGGAGCTGCGCGCCTCCCCGCCCCCTCTCTCCCCCTCTGTCCCCCTCTGTCCGCGGACGGCGCCGGCCGCTGAGCCCCTCTCGGCTCCGCGCTTACCTCTTTCACAGGGGGGTGCGAGCCGCGGCGAGCCGGGCGGAACAGGGGAGCGCATTCTTGAGCTGGCCGATCCGGACGGGGCCCTCCATTAGGCACGGGCGGAGAGCGCGGAAACAAGGGGGGGGAGACATGGGGTGGGGGGGATCAATAAAGTTCGGAAGGAGCAGAAAGGTCGCGGGCAAGCGGTCCGTCCTTTATCGGAAGCGGCTCATTCTTGTTGGCCGCGGAACCAGCGGCTTCTGCAGCTCGGACGCGTGTAGCCAGACAGATACTCCGGGCGAGTGTGAAGGAGAGCTGAGTCCGCGCTCTCTCTCCCCCTCCCTGCCCGCACACACACACAC